ACAAACAAGGAACTGTGAGGATAGGAAAAATAAAAAACAAAAATTTCCTCATTCTCATGCCGTCCCTAAACACGAGACAAAAGCATGTGTGCTATTAAATAAGTAACAGTCTATCCATCCTCACCTGTCAGTGTCTGAGTGAGACTGGGCTCTTGTGAAACAGCATAGTGAACATTCCTGTCTACAGCGTGCGTTACATTACAGAGCTAGAACTTTATCTGGTTTAACATTGCATGCTTTTACTGGGAAAAATCATCACATGGGGGGATCCATAGAGTCTCTGTGAATGCATGGAATTCAAAATAGCTTTACAACAAACATGAAAACATCTAAAAACTGATAGCTATTTGACCAGCCACTTAATTTCACACAGACATGGACGTAAATACAGGTGATACATGCTGAACTAAATCATATTTGCAGTGCTGCACGGCTGAGTCTTCTGCCAGGTAATGTGAAGACTCCAAGTACTGACTAGGAAGGTCACAGATGCCAGACTTGTGATGTGAGTCAGTCGACGGTCACTACAGGCACAATAACAGATCTTGATTAGAAAATCTATCTTTAGAATAAAGTCACAGTGACAGAGATTACATTTATCCACAGTCAAATCAAAGCTTTATTTGCTAAAAAGCATCCGTAACACAATTATTCAGATTGGAAGATTTTAACTAAATTTCCGGTATACATTACTAGACAAACATTTTAGGCAGGTGTGAAAAGAATGCTTTATGAATGGTTTAACAAATATAAATAATGGGTTTTTATTTTTGTTATTATTATAAAAGAAAAATCTCAGTCAAATGTCTGAGTAACTACCTTTTACCAGCAACAATTCCGCCAGAAACAGCTGTGTAGGATTATAACTCTGCTGAAAAGGTGAGGTTGAGAAAGACAGATTATTGTCATGGAAAGATTGAATGCAGCAACAAGAAACCAGGTATACTGCATCAACAAGGACTCTTCCTGACAAAGATTTCAAAGCACATTAGAGTTTCAAGGTGCAAGCTAGTGGGCTGTGGCAGTGGCGTGCCCTTTTTTAACTGACTAATATTTGTTTTAAAGTTATTTTCAAATACTTCACTGGATCAAAAAAACTAAAGTGAAATGTTAGTAATTATCATTTAGATTAAAATATTGATTGACCAATCGTGTCATGACGTCAGAATTAAATGAATTCAGTCAGGTGCGTTGACTTAAATGGATCGCTTCATGAAGAGAAAAGCTAATGACCAGCCCGTAACGCAACAAGCGGAAGCTTCTAAAAGTGTGTGGTAAGAAAATAAAATGCTGAATACATTAAGGCGGGTTCTGAGTCCACACCTAAGACACAGTGTGTTGAATGCGGAGATTTTTTAACAACTGAGGCACTAAAGCCATGAAGGCTGACATTTGGCCTCAAAAGGTGCGTGGGGAAGCCAAAAGAATATTTTCTCATTAAAAAATAGAAGCTACAACATCTATCCACTCAACCAAAAGTGACACTGAAAGCTAGCTCTCTGGTGTTTACACCGCGGTTTAGTGAATACAGATAATTGCTGCACCCCTACTAGTGAATGTATAAGTATATACAGTGGGCCTCAGAACATTGACTTCAAGAATAACTGGCTCTCGGAGCAAAAAAAAAGGCAAGAACTGTTTGGTTAGAGGTTGAACACACATATGCTTCATTGGATCATTTAGGTGGTAAGACAGCTTGCATCATGTTATGAAACTGCTCTTTTACAAATTTGAGTTAAAACAATGACTGAACATATGTTAGCAAAGACCATTGTCTTTTACCTGCATCAGCCTTTATGCTTCAACCAATCCCACACCATGACAAGAGTAGCCTCTCAAGAGGGATTGTCAGCAATTCACATTGAAATTACAGATAAGTCATTTTTCAACTTTCAAGAAAAAGTACAAACCGTTAAATTTACCTAAAAAAGTACTGGTTACCCAAAATATCCAAGTCCAAATCTGACTGGTACCATTATTTACATATTTTTACACTCCCGCATAAAATGTTCAAGAATCTTTAAACCAACTTTTTCATAAATATTATTGGGGGTGTAACGATACACTCTGCTCATAATACGATACCTACCTGCATCATAATATTTTACACTATTTTTAACCAACTATTGAAATGAATCACCAGTGGAACAAATGGACTTCCAAGTTTTGAGACCATAAAGCTAAGAAGGCTAGGGACTAGTTTGGTTTGTATGACAGCATTTGATGCCATTCATCCTCTAGGGGGGGAGTGTCAGTTAAGTCATCTTTTTTACTCAAAGTGATGGAGAGAGCTAATTTTAGAATCTTATTTAAAATGTGAGTAAAGGCTAATTGTCTCCTTTAAAATATTATAAAAAACAAGAAGAGAAGGTAAGAAGTTTCAGAAGTGACTAGAATCACAATCACAAATACACCTCAGCTCCTAGACGATATCTTTCGCTAGCTACACGAAAGGTTGGTGACAGTTTTGTATTGCGGTAACTGGTTCCTTGGCTTCAAATGTACATCTGGATAAACTGCAGATGCCTTTAGCTACTACAAGAGTACAAGTTTCAAAGATGCTAATGTTTCTGAAATGGACCCTATCCCTCATGATTTTAAAGCCTGGGAAGTTAGATTTACTAAGCATGGCCTAAATGGACATTCCTTATAGAACCGTGTTAGATATTTGGAAAGCGGTTCTCAGATGTTGAAGCTTTTTGTGCACCAGTCTGACCTTTCACCCGTACAGAACACTCTAAATGGACAAGACCGTGCAAGTAAGACAAGGAATGCTTCAAGTTACATGAAAGCGGCACTATCCAAGTGATTTATAGTCCCGGCAACATGTTGTGAATGGAGAGGGATGTTTCAGTGGGTGGAAGGAGGTATCTGCCATCACACTGGGCTATTGGTTGACCTTGAAGTGTACTGGAGCCCCCCGAGGAGAGAGACATTCCAGAGGGAGAATTCCTGACGTCTGTCCTCCCTTAGCTGAGAAAAGTCACGCTGATTTGTCACAAGTAAGCCCAGGTACCTCACAAAAACATTTATGGAATGCCAGCTAACACTTACTAAGGGAGGCATGCAGGGCAAAACATTTATCCTGAAAACAGAAGAAGACACGCAGTCCTTCCCTCCATTAGATCATTTAACAGTTAGTCAGCCTAGACAGTTACAAGTGTGTGGATCATACCAATGAAGATTAAAAGTTGGATTTTCTTAAAAACCCGAGACAGATATTGAGTTGTCAAGTCTGAACCCTAGACCTAAAATTTCAACACTAAATGATTAATGGAACTGCATTCTTGACAAAACTATGCAGTTCATGCAATAGAACTTGGGAGTAGAGTTTCTTAAGAGATTAATGTTGTAGATAAAGAGAGGAAGAATGATGAAAGATCTTATACAAACCTACTCTGCTTCCTCAAAGACAGCAGTGGGAATACACGTGAATGGATCTCCACAATTTATAATCAGTTTAACAAATTGGAGATAAAATGAGTCAGGACACCCCTACGAAGAACACTCCTATGAAGCTGAAAAAATTGACGTCCCACACACAAGGCTGTTGTTATTTATTACATCAATGTTATTGGGCTAATAATGGGCTATTATTGCTATAAACCATCTACTTTTCTGATTTTAATTATTTTTACTGATCTTTATATGGGCAATGGCCATGAAATCCTTGTACTTTTTTAAAAATGACAAAATTACATTTATGACACTTTGGTCACGTTGGTATCCATTGTAGCCTTTTGTTTTGAAGTGTACCTCCAAACATCCCTAGAAATAGAGGACAATACACCCCTTCATTTTAGCCCTTCGCCACAATTTAAAAAGGTATTGAGACCCTTGGGACCCAACACGGCCAAACAATAATTTGGCCGTGTTGGTGTCCATCCTGTCCCATTGTTTTGAAGTGCACCTCCAAACATCTCTATTAATGGGGGGGGGGGGGGGTATACTCTTATGTTAGCCTTTGACCATAATTTGAAAAACATACCCCTTTCCCTGGATTGGGGAAGCGGACATGCTAAAAAAAGGAGTTACAGCTAGGAAGTAGAAAAGGAACCAAGCCTTAAAATTATTTAACCCTTAGAAATCTCTGCAGGCGTTGCCTGTGATGGACTGGCACCTCTCGTCCGATGCGCGCTGGAGATCCCCTGTGACCCCGAAAGGGATTAAGTGGGTTAGAAGATGAATGCATGAAAGTATCTGCATGCAACTGTGTGTGTGCCAATCACAGCAGCTGTTTTGAATTGAAATAGGAATGGCGCAAACCAAATAATTTTTGTTTATAAATACAATGTGTAGGTTTTAAATAATATACTACAGTTATGAGACATAATCTGAAAAGTAATTCAAATTAAAATGTGAGAAAATGTGCAATTTTCTTTGTTTCATTTTTCATTCATTCATTTTCCAACCCTCGAATTCCCTTTTGGGGTCACAGGGGTTTGCCGGTGCCTATCTTCAGTGTACATCGGGCAACGGGGGGTGAGGGGATACAACCTGGACAGGTCGCCAGTCCATCGCTTTTTATTTTGTTCTTTTTATTCAGAAGAAAAATACATAATTGATTACTTGTATTATATTGTATTTTAAAGGAAAACAAGAGTACCAAAAAGTTATATTGAGTGTTATAAAGGTAATTTATTACAGCAAATCGTAAAGTAGTCTTCTAAAGGTTAAAAAGTCTTCTTTTTATGTCAGTGTATTGAAAAGCATCACATCTTTAGATTAGATTAGAAGGCAAGCACTTTTACGTCTTTAGATTAGAAGGGTCTAAATCAGCTTTTTTAGTTCCACAGCTCTGCAACGTTTAGCTCTAACCCTCATTAAGCATAACTGATCCCGCTAATTAATTCTTTCACGAGTGCTCAAAAGCTAAAGGTCTACGTGTGGAAGTGCATTTGGTACTTCTGTAAGCCTCCAAGAACAGAGTTTGACACTTGTTATAAACAGAGGCATACTCTTGCACATTGTTGTTCAACTCTGACCTCACAATGTGTTCTGTTTCCTGTGGCTTAGTCAGTAGAGCATTGTTCTAGCAAGGCAAAGATTGCAGGTTCAAACCAAGGGGCAACCTCTGGCTTTCCCTCTTGAAGCCTAATATTGAATTATGGCTTGCGAAGCATTCAAATCTGCTGAATTTTTTGTTTTCCAGGTAGGTTTTCGCAAAAACTAGAAGCATCCACTAACAACGAGCCTCCACCTCTTCCAACTAAAGCTTTAAGCAGAGAATCTAGACAAAGAGGGTGAAGAAATCTTGAATAAGTTCATCATTCATTCTTTTAATCAAGGCAAAGTTTGTCAACACTATTAGTAGTCCATTGTCTATTCCCTAGATGCTGAATGTTAACATTTGTGAAATGAGATGAATGATCTTTCAGCTTGGAGTGCAAAGCTGGAATGTGGCCTCTCTTCGTGGAGACTGCTTGCCAAGGGTGAAGCAGGTGGCAGAATTGTTTTGCTAGTGTGAATAGTGCTCTTTTCTGCTTGAAAAGAAAGATGCCATTCATACCACAGAAAGGACCCAGATAAGAGCAGTTTGCACAGACTTGCACAACAGACTTGTTGAAGAAATTCCCTAAATGTGTCCATCCATCCATTCAGTCCAAACAAACCAGTCAACACATTGTTTTGGTAAAGATATATATTAAAGTTTTATTACAATTACTGAAATGTTAATGACATATAAAATAATTCCCCATTTTTGAAGTTCACAGCAACATCCAAATTTGGGTCAACCAGTTTGAACTGCATATCTACATTTCACCTCACTAATGCTTATATTATATAATTTAAATGTAATGCAAATCTTTGGCATGTTCACATTACTAAATACCAAATCTTAAAATAATATACAAAATATATTAAATTCTCTCATTTCAAATCAGCCCTTTCTGTAAACAGTCCGAGAAAGTAATGAACAAAACAAAGCATGACTCCCGTACAAAGCATTGACCAGCAAGAGCTTTGATTCGGAGACAACAGTAAAATAAAAGAGTGAGAATAGCTTAAATAAACATGCTTTGATATCTATTACCAACATAGATAAGACTGATCATTTTTATTGGCTTTCCCACGATAAACCGACGTGAATTCTCAGTAGAGAACAAATGTTTCTCAGTCAGAAATGTCTCGGCTTCTGAAGTCTGGGCTTGTTGCAGTTGCTACATTTGACAACCTTTGAGTCGCAAAACCAAGCTCGGGTTTAAATGCTATCAGCAGAACCAGCTACTGAAACCATACAGAAATAAACAGATCCAAAAAGAGGATGGTGGTCGAAATGCCAACCGTTCTAAATGAGGCCAAGGGTCAGAATGCAGATAGGCTTTTTTCCTCAGAGCAGGGGCATTCCACCGTGGAGGAATGTGGGAAGATTAACTCCGGCTTGTCTCGGAGGGAGTGCCAAGTGTCACGGTTGCCCTTTTGGGTGCAAAATAATAGTAATATGGCATCTGAAATATCAACCGCCTGTCTCTCCTAAGAGTAATACTTCCTGTAAGTCACTAAAAAAGGACGCACACATTGACTGCCGCAAAAGGATGCTTTCCCAGCTATTTAATTCAGGGAGTGAGACGCAGCCGGAGTCGACCAGTTATAGTAAGAACACCAACTGTACTGATATTTGTCGAGTGGAGAGCAAGAGAAGGCATTAACCCAACTATTCTGGAACATTTTGTAACCCCAGGCCTCTCGGTTCAAACGGTATTTGGATCCCCAAAATCCAAACAATTATTTCTTGATTTTTGAGGATTAGGCAGTTGCAATGGCATTCCTACTATGTGTGGACCATGTACATTTGGAGACCTATTCATCTGTGCCTTTAAGAATGAAAGTGGGATGTAGTTTTACACAAGTTGATACACTCAACTGCTTAAACAAACACTACTCCTGGTTGGTAAAAGAAACCAAATACATTTCACAACAGCGGGATCTTTCAACCTGCTTTTCCATTTTGAACACTCAATAGCACACGCTCAGCAGCAATAGTCATAAATAACAAGTACATCCACATATACAATGCATTTACATGCCATTATGTTTTTGGAGCTCTGTAGTGTACTGTCTATGTACCTCATATTCAGGCTATACATCTCATCGTCCATGTTGAGAGTCGAAAGGAACTGTAAAGAGAGCTCAGCTCTTCTTCACCAATGACTTCGATCAGTTCCATCCAACTTCCTGTAGCATGACATCACCACCTTTAACAGCAAAATTCTTCCAGACGAAAGCACAGCTTCTCTTGAACGTTGGTCCAAAGATGAGGCCCATGGAGATTTTCTTTGCATAAGTGCAGCAGGTAGCCAGAAGCTAACTCATTGTTCATATCAGATGAGAATCTCCACCATGTCGTTTTCAACAGCACTGACAGCCTGGGTTGGGTTGACTGGAGTGATACCTATAATTACAAAAAATACATGTATACATTAATAAACTGAAAAATGGTGGAAGGCTTAACATTTAAGTCAAAATCCCTCGCCAGCTGACATTTATGGCACTTTTCCAATACCATTGCATTAGAGGATCTTTCCATTGACGTCTACCCTTAGTTCCAGTACAGATTCAAAACAGCTTAGACAAGGTTTCAAACCTACTCTGGAGCGAGCAGAATAGGTACCATTCTCCTACTGGCCAGTCGCTGATTGAATAATCTCTGTCTGCATCACTGAATGGCAACACACCGCATTCGGTGGTTTTACAAAACAGCGAATCAAATCTACATCGGTCAAACATGGCAGTACACACCTTTTTTTTTCAGATCAAAGAGGACCAGATACAACATAATCATAATGGAGACTGAGAAAAACTATTGGGAAATTCCACATTCACTCTGAAGAGACAATAAATCCGATGTAAAAGCAATAATACTGTTGTAAACAGAACAGTACTGAACCAAACATTTCTATGCATGCAATGGAAAAGACATGGCTCTCATGTTACACTTTAATAACCCCAGTTCAAAAGTTAAACTCTGCAGCATTATTATTAAATTCTATCCTTTAGATTGCATATTATATCAATCAACATTAACAACATACCAGAACAGAGAGAAGTGGAAAGCTCAGGAACAGATGTGGTAGCAGAGGGTTCTGCTTTATGGTTGGGTTCTTCTGAACTCTCATCACACTGGGTACTGCTGTCACGACACTGAGTTTTGCCAAGCACATGGGGCAGAGGGGGCAAAGATGCGGCTGCCGTCTGGTCATCTGAGAGGCTCTTGCCTGAAATAACACATGGAAAAAGAAGGTTAAAACCCAGTTTAAATGTATGCCTCCCAACATACTTAAATTTGCCACATAGAGAACTCCTGTACTGCTATTCAAGAGAACATACACACATTCCACTGCACAAGATCTAGACTATTTCGAGAACATCAGCTTGACGTTACCCTCATATTATTTCAGTTGCTAAATTCTTTCTGGTTGACATTAGCCACTAAGTAAAGAAGCTTGCAGCAGCCCAGAGGAAACTACACCATAGACATACAAAGCTGGTGTGAGTTAGGGCAGCCCTATTTCAACATTTTTAAAGTTTTGCATAGTGACAAAACTAAACAGATTTTTCCAGCACTTTAAACAAATATAAGCAAACAGAAAATAGCAGGAGGATTGCAAACACTGCTTTGTGTCAAAGTCTTCACCTTTGGATCGTTGGGCAGTGGTTGTAGCAACAGTGTTGATGGATGGAACAGATCGGGCAGGTCTTAGGCCCTCGGGTCGACCTTGCTCTCGTCGTGAACGCTGCTGCATGACCTTTATAATGGCATCCTTCTCCAAGAGTTGAGCATAAAGTGCCCGGATCCTGAGGAAAAAAAAGGTCAAAACTGCTATTGAAATATTAATTCTAAACAGCAAGTTAGAAAACTCTGAAAGCAAGGTGTAAGAAGATTTAACAGAAAATGAATTCGGCTTTATTTAGCTTAAACATTAGAGATGGTATTAGCTACCACATGCTGCATTGAGAACAAAGATTGAGGGAGGGAGAAACCCAGCTGCCAGCTGTGTCTCCCTCAGGATCTGCAGAGCTAAATGGAAGAATCTAGCTGTGCTGCTTTATTCAAGCAACTTGTAACTTCCTGTTGTGATGTAAGGTCCTGTTCTGTCGCAGACAATAGGATTCTAAATATTTTACAGAACAAATCTCTAATACAGAACACATACCGGTTTTCCATCTCTTGATGCCTGTATTTAGGGGAGAGGAAGTCCTCATTGAAGCTACTGTTGGGTGAGTGGCGAGGTGAATGGTTGATGATCGTTGTATCTCTATAAAAAGAAAGAATGTTTTTATATGAGGCAATGTTCTGGCATAGTTTCTAACACTCCAGCTGAGACTCACCTCTGGGCTGCAGCAGTAGCAGCAGCATCCATGGCGAACTGACGCATTGTACTCTCTTCAAGGTACTTTTGTTCCCAACGGGTGATGTCAGCCTCTAGGGCCAGAACCTGCTCTTCTCGCTCTCTCAAATGCTGTTGTAGAGACGACACATTGAGGTCTGGGTAGGAACCTGTGTTTGTTTGCTGGGCTTGAGAATGCCACTGAAAGAGAAAGTGATGGTTTATTTTTCCGATCTAGCATTGGTGGTAAACACTGAATTTCTCTCTGCTGTCTGTTTTCTACCTGCTGTGCCCTTAAGCTCTTCAATTCATGTTCCAGCCTGGTTCTCAAACGTAACTCCAACGATTCCCTCTTCTCACATGCTGCTTGCAGTTGCGCCAAGGCACTCTGCATCCTCTCCACTTTTTCCACATACGCCCTCTTCCTACGCAACTCCTCTTCCAGTTGCCTGTTTCTTGTCTGTGCAGAGATAAGTGCTTGCTCCAAGGCTTCTCGTCGCCTTTTCCATTCTTCTCCTGAGACACGTAGATGCTGCAGCTCTTTTTCTAGACGTTCCCGCTCACGAAGGTGATCCTCATCTTAGTAGACAAAAAGACAGACATTGTGAGATCCATTTGCTCACTACAGAAAGGGCACAAAATGGGCCAAAGTGAAGTTTAATTGCTCTGCAGAGCACAAAATGAATTGCTCGTTTGGACTGGGGTGTGTCCATGGCGTTCCTTCTACTGTCTCATTCTGACCAA